TTTCCTCAGCCTTTTAATGGATAACCATTGTTGTATCCTTAGATGCACACTTCTGATAAGTTCTGAATGCTCAATTAGATTAACTGAAATCTACCCTGCCCCGGGTTAAATGTGAGGGTTTTTTCTGAATAGAAAAGAAACTCCTACTTCAAGGCTCAAAGGGGTTGACGAGGGTCTATCTCCCTTATATCTCCGGTGTTTGGGAATTTGAAACAAGACATGTACATCATCAACAAGGTTTTTATTCAAAAGCACACCGTTTGAAATTTTTAGTATTTTTCTCATCATCCTCCCTCCAGAGGTATTTTGCTTTATTTAAGTATAAAAAATCAAATAAAAACATTAATGAGTGAATACAAATAGATTAATTCAAGACAAACATATTCAATTCATTATGATTAATATTCAAAAATAAGCAAATTTTGCATAAAAGAAAGTACTGAACCAAAACAAGGAAGATTACAAATGAGAATGCAAATGAAACTAGAAATTTCCATGTTGAGGAGACTAGTCTCCATATGGACTTGTTGCTTCAGACGATGATCTGGCAGTATTGACATTTACTGAGTCAAAGGAGACCTCAAATCTGACTGGCTGGCCTGAAATTGATAGTCTTTGCATCAATCAGGTCTTGCACATTCTCTTTGAAAGCCCTGCAGTCTTCAATGGAATGTCCTAGTTCCCCAACATGGTAATCACATTGCACCTTAGGATCAAAATCCACAAGATAAGGAGGAATGACATGATTCAGTGGCTTGGTTTCGACCAAGGAAAGCTTTGAGAAATTGAGGGATAACTGGCCATAAGTCATGGGAACAATGTCGAACACACTCTTTGGCTTCCTGTCCCTTTGATTATCTTGTTGCATACGTCTCTGCTGATAGGTTTGCTGTTGAGTAGCATACCAAACTGGATGAACATGAGGAACATTCTGATTTTGCTTAACCAATGATTTCCATAACTTGTAAACAGTTGCTGGTGACAACTTTATGGGAGTATAGGTTGTGGATGATGTGATTCAGGTCGTGAGATTTAACTTTAAGAGGAGAAGGTGTAACCCTATCCTCTATAGTAGTTGGCATAGGATTTATTTTCACACTCAGACCTTCGGGAGTGAAGAGAATTGTCCCTGTATCAAGCAAATCCTGGACTTGGTTCTTAAAAGCTATGCAATCTTCAGTATCATGACCAGGTGCCCCAGAGTGGAATTCACACCTAGCACTATTGTCAAAGCCATGAAGGAGCTTTTCATACGTAGTGAAGATTCATATTTTAACCAAATGAAATCCTAGCAGGCGAGGAAGCAATTATGCATACAACATTGGAATAGGATCAAATTGTCATTTGGGCTGCTTTGGCCTCTGCTGTCGGACTTTACCTTTTAGGTCCTCTTGGGAAATGACACCTGGTTGCCGATGGGAAGATCTTGGAACACAAGGTGGTAAAGGAGATACTCCCCGACTTAAAAGAGACCCTAGATTATGGGGAGGAACGGTAATTCATGTAGCAGTAGGTATAGAACCATCTTCTTTCTTCAACACTGTCCCCAAAATTTCCATAACCAAACTCAACTAAGACTTCAAGTGAGCGTTCTCCTCTCTCAGGAGTTCTTGCCCACAGACCAAATCCTGCATGTCTAGCATCAAAAATCCCATTTGTTCTTTCATCTCGTCTAATTCCCCACGAAGTTGCTCCATATCTTGAATCTGATCACATAGCGGCGAGAAGTCAAGATTTACAGTTCTGAAAAGAAAATACCGAGTTTGAATAAGGATTCCCCATTCTGGGTACCTTCTGAATACCTACTATAGATGCATGAAGAGGCATGAAAATGCATGAGGTGAATGAGCGGATGCAATACCATATTCAAACTTTTTTTTTGCATACAATCTTTCAAATTTCCTTTTTGTGTGTGTAAAATGAACATGCTATGATGCAAGGTGCGATAACATAGGTTCAAAAGTTCAGCATAACAACTGTGCAATCCTCTGGATAACTGTTGTATCAATCTGCTGGATAATCAATATATCACCGGATCAAAGGTTCGACACCACTTCGAGAATACAATGGAACCAAATACCATGAATAACTGTTGTATAATCTCTGGCCAAGTTAAATATATCAAGATCAAAGGTACAGAGTGTAACCAAATAACCATAGTCACCGACAGAATACAACGGTCACCATCAGAACATAGTCACCATCAGAACATAGTCACCACCTGTACCTATAATAAAAAAGTCCCTCCCTACTCACGGGTAAAGACTAGGTCAGGGTAGGTCAAAGGTAACTCAAAATCACAGGTCCTCCTGTAAGTACTACCGCCTTACGCTCAGACGTGGGTGTCGATAGTAATTCATTTGAACCTCATCCGAGCATGGTATATGATATGAGTGCACTAATCCGACCATGTCCTATAGCCGTCATGCCCCCACTCTATTCCTAGTGTCCTAGTGCACTCTGGCTTGGGTACTGGGCCTTTTACCTCAATAGTAACACCCACCCAACATGGAAAACCAGAATCCATCCCAACAGATAACTAATATAGATAGCAATAAAATGCAATGCAAACATATGCCCAGATATACATATACAAATGAATAAACTGAAAGCATAAAAATAAACACCCAAAGAAAATAAAACAAGATCTAGGAGCGACTCCGGGATGGACCATCAATAGGTCGATCTATCCCCAGTGAAATCGCCAGCTGAAACAACTGGCTGAACAATCAACTGATAATGAAATCAATGAAGTCGCCATCGAATGTTTTTATCCTACAAGAGGGGAAAGGTAAACATCGATTAAACCTGAGAAAGGAGAAATCATGGTCAAAAAACCGAGAGATTAGGTAAGGGAGTCTGTTACATGAGGGAAAGGTATTAACCCCCCACACGCCCGTAGTACTCTACAGTATCCACTCTTGTTGTCTATATTATGGGTGTGTTAGAATCTAAATCTAAGTTGTACAGGGAATTCATGCAAAATAAAGGAGAAAAGAATGTAGGGAAAATAAAGTTGTGCTCATTCGGGCCCTACCCTAATGCCTACGTATCCCTTTTAAGGAATCAGAGCAGCCGTAGTTCGGCTTCAAAAGTTTTGTTGGTTTGTATTTTTTAATGAACAATATTAATTTCGCCTTCTGCCACAACTCGACCTTTGGAGACTTACGCGTCAGCACATAAGTGAATTAACATGTTCTTTTGAAACTTTTTTGAAATAAAAGCCTGAAGATAAAAATGAGTTTGCGTTGGTTGGTGTTTTTACTTGTGGATAATGACAAATTGATCTCAAGAGAGATATTTTAACCTTTTCTCCACTTATTTATGAAAATAAGTCTTTGAGACTTGAACCATACCAAGGGTTAGAGTGGAAGGACGATAAGATTGAGAAGAAACCCGCTTATCATTTCCCGCGCTCAACAAAGTTATGACTCTCATTGGTAATCTTTAAGTGTTTTGAAGTTTGCAAGAACAAGAAGTTTTTGTTTTAATGCAAATGCAAAAGGGGGAAGAAAAGTCTAAAGGAAGACTAACCTAAATCTATCTCTAATGTTATCATACAATGGTGGTCCTATGATTAAGTTTTGAAGGGGAATATCTACCCTAAGTTGACATGCTTGGATAACAATCCTAATGTCTATCTCAACGAATCAAGAAGTCCTAAAGGAGCATAGCAAGGGTCTATCACCTAAAACCATGTCTATCTTGAATCATCATCTATAGTTGAATCGAGAGCTCCTAATGGAACACCACGAGGGTATAGCATCTCAAAACATGCACACGAAGATGAAATCAAACAAGCAAACTAATAATCTCAAGAGAGTTAGCTCAAGAGAGCACACCTAGAGAGATCCTATCTAAGCCAGCATAACAAAGAAAGTCTAACAAAAACTATCCTACGGGGAACATGCCATGAGAGCGAAGCCATGATCTTAATTCCTAAATTGAGTGACTCATCGATCAACAACTCAGGAAAGCAATAAAATCCTACATGAAGCATGCACTGAGAGCGAAGTCGTGATCTCAATTTCTAAATTGAGTGACTCATCGATCAACAACCAAGTAAACAAACACAAGCACGACATATATAACAACTGAAGTGCGGAATGCCTACTACAAGTCTTTAAACAGCGACTTCGAGCGCACGCTCTTTATTTCCTACTTCTCGTGATATCTAGAAAGCAGTAGAGTGCTGAAATGAGATAAACAAAGGAAAATACCAAATGAACTAAAGTTTGTAGCATGGCAGGCAAAGCAGAGAAACCCGAAAAACTTCGAGTAAACTTCACCAAGGAAAGAAAAGAGTCAGAAATCAAATGCTCGGGATAAGTGTTGAAGCATCATTGATGTGAAAATAAATCACAATATAAATCTCAAGTGCATCCGCATATCGCACAATAAACCCGCATAAGTATAAAATCTCAACAAGCAAAAGGTGAATTACCAATCTCAAGTAATCGAACAATCGAGATTTAATTCTTAAAATCACATAAAAAAAACTAAAAATTTTTATATTTAACTTTATTATTTTTATCATGTAAAAGAAAAAAGTTCAAGCAAATCTAAACAATTCACAAAATTATTTAAAATAAAATACTAAAAGAATAAACTCTGGGGGTGCAATCTGTAAGCGGGAGGTATGCTGAAGTAATCTGATGCTAGGCCCGACAGTATGATCCATGGCATTGTTTTTGTTGCAAAGTAATAGGACATAAAAAAACAGTAAATGGACTTAGTAAGGATGTGCAATCCCCAAAATTCCACCAAGGGGCCTAGGAAAGGGACCATTCGGTCCACCACCACAACATAACTTGATCCATATTTTTTTTATTTGCACCTCTATTGTTAATCACTTATTTACTAAAATTGAAATAACAAAGTAACAGGAAATGATAACATGAAATGGTGCGTTTTGGTTCATGGAGGCTAGGGTTCCAAATTTGTGTCGCTTCCTCTTTTCCTCACACAGCGGCCGCCGTCTTCCCCTTCTCTAACTTTCAATGACGGTGCAACTCACCGTTCTTCTTCTCCGATATTTATGTCGCAGTGCCACTGCACATAATCATATCTTCCACCATCATAAGTACACGCACCTCATTCTCATATCTCCACCCCTCTCTTCGATCTCAACTGCAACGACTCAAATCAAACTTTTTCTTCTTTACTTCTATAGAAATGCTCTGACCATCGCCTTCACATACGCGTTTCGTCACGACAGAACTCAACTCAACCCTCTATTCTTCGTTCAACATGACAGAATTTGTTCAACACGACAGAACTTCTATGATTCCACACCTCTGTCCCATCTCAATGTGCGGCTTCCGTCTTATTGTTCTCGCTCTGAACAACATAGTGGCTAATCGAGGACGAAATCTCGGGGAAATTCTTGCGGAGGTTCAAGTTTCAGATAACATTAAGAAGGAAAGAAAAAGATGAGGAAGGATTGGAGATTTACCTACCGGAGAAGTCTGGTGCTTCTCGTAGTCATGACGACGAACATAAAATCCAGAAGTTCTAGGAAACTTCAGGTGCTCGTATCTTATCTTGTACCTTCTCTGTGCAATTTTTTCTTCTTCTGAAAAACTATGAGCATCTAAATTATTGGCGCGTGTGTTGATTTTGTGTTATGTTTGATATTTGTATGATGATACAACAACGTCGTGGTTGGTGCATTTGGTTGCAATGATGTTGTTGCTGATACGAAACAGGGTGGTAAAGATGTATGTGCGATCTGCAGAATTGATGTGCGATGAGGATGATGGTGATGCACAAACTAGGAATAATTATTGAATGATGAAGATCTCTGAGGAGTTTTTTGCAGATAAGAAGAGAATATGAAGATCTTTTGTGAAGGTCTTCAAAGAGAGATGAAGGATTGTGCATTGAAGGTGATGCTGAAACAAAAAGAATTTTCTGAAGTTCTTTGTGATTCTTCTCAAGAGAATGAAGAATAGATGAAGATGCAGAAATGATGCAGGTTAAGGATGATAATTGCAGAGAAAGATTTGGTGGATTGAATCAGAGAGAGAGAGTAATTTTGTGGTTTTCTTGGTGGTGATGGAGAAGGACGCAAAGAGAAGATAAGAGTTTTGTTCTGTGATTTTTCTAAATTGGAGAGTGGATCCCATTGTAAGAGGTGACTCGGTTTTTATACTCTGTTAGTTTGTTAGGGGAAGTTAAAAAAAGAAGGTTTACTGGAAGTTGTTAAATCCTGCTAGTGCGGTTCAGAAATTGGTTATAACTAATTTCAAAGTTTGTTAGCTTCTGAAAACAATGTTAGTTAGCATTAACAATTAATATGGATTTGTTAGTAATTTCTGTTTTGACAGTTAGGATTAGTTATGGTCTGGAAAGTTAGTTGGTTCTGTTAGAGGTTAGATCCGGTTGGTAGTTAGGAGACTAGTTTGGGAAATTGGTTATAGGTAGTTATAATTCTGTTAGAAGATTTTGTTATAGGAGTTTTTGATTTTCTAAACTGTGATGTTAATTGGTTTTTTGCTTTGAACAAGGCTGCCCATTTGTTAAAATTTCTGAACTGATGCAAAATTGGTCATGTATGCAGGGCTATGCAAATCTGGGAAGAAGGTTGTTTATTTGGTGCCACAAGTTTTGTGACTGATTGGAACTTGGTGATTGAATTTGTATAGGGCTTTCTTGACATGATTCAATTGGCTCTTGGAGCTTGGGGAAAACTTTTGAAGGGAGCAAGAGAAGGTTAAATCATGAAGATGAAATGAAACAGCTTGAAGACTTGAAGAATAGGTTTAGGATTAGGCTTAGAACCAAAAAAATTGTGTAATTGGGAATGTAATTGGATGGAACTTAGATGTTGTATGTATTTGAAATTTAGCTTTGTGATCTGAATTTGAATGAGCTACCATGCTTTGAAATGGGTTTTTTTATAATGGAGACTATGATTTCAAATTTGAATTACCTTCCCTCCATTATGCTTGTAACTTGAATGAAACAACCATAAATTTAAATGGAACTTTGGCCAAAAGTTAACTCTCCCAAATTGACGTTGAACTTTATCATGGGACGCCTCGCTTCAAAACTTGAATCTAATTTGATATCTCAAAAATAATTGAATCCAAATCCATTTAAATGTCATGCCTAGATTTGAATAATGGGAGATGAATTAAGTGAACATGAAGATGGCAGCTTGAACTACATGAATCTTCCAATCTTATCTTGAATCAACCATTGACAAATCATGAAATAGAGATCTTGAATCAATATTAATCTTGAGCACAAATAGAAGTTTCAATGAATCCAAATTGACATCTCATTTCTCTTGAAGTCCTAGTTAACATGTAATTGAAGCAACAAGTGTTTGAACGAATGATGACGTTTTTAACTAAATGAACTCACAACTTCATCTTCTGTACCATGGCTTGCATTTTGCAATCCAATCCACAATATGTATTGACTTTATGGATAACAACAATGCCTTGAGGGCGCCTTGAAGTGTAGAAAGAAATGTAATATGAAGCTCAATGAACCTCAGTCGATAGATTTTACAAATTCACACCTAGAAGATGTGACACCCTAATCCACTTGCGTTTGATGAATTCTTGATGGAGGATGACCTTGTAGCTTGATGAAGAAAAGATCCATAACATCCATGAACACACAACCCTAATTCCACAATTTCACTTCCTTGAAAAATAACCAGAAGAGTCAAGCTTTATTGAACATATACACCTCAGTCAGTTGTAAAAACCCTAGCTTGCACGCCCACTGAACTCTTGAACTTCGGGCGCTTATTTTTTGAATGAAAATGCATGCTATGTTAGTAACCTAATGAAAAAATATGAATGCAATGCTAAGCCTAAGCCAAATATAAGTGCAATTAGGAGGAAAAATTTTGGGGTGCAACATATACTTGCTTGTGTAGAAGCATTTTCTTGTAAATATACCTTGTAAAAACAAATAGTTGTTTGTTTCTTCTAAAGGACCGGTTAGGTCAGAAGCTTTAGAAAGGATTTTTGTGTTTCCTCCAAGGGACCAGTCAAGTCAGAAGCTTTAGAAGGTAACATGTTCCTCAAAGGACCGGTTAAGTCAGAAGCTTTGAGAAGACTAAGATGGTGGTCTTAGTGGTTGTTAGTCACAACAGTTGTCTGTGCAAACTGTAATCAGTTTGGTTATAGTGTATTAAGTCCTTGTGTTCAAGGAGAAATCACCATGGTAGGGTGGACTAGACTAGCTTGAGGGTTTCTCAAGTGAACCAGTATATATATCACATGTTCCTTACTTCTGCTTATGCTTAATTTTTTATGCTTCTACAACATATTCAAAAGCGTTACTCAACACAACAATGTAAAGAAACGAAAGTTTCTTAAGAAAGGAAAACCCAATTCAACCCCCCCCCCCCCCCCCCCCCCCCGTTTTCTTGCGTTTTCTTCAAACCTTCAATTGATATCCGAACCCAATTTTGTTATTGATAGATATCAAAATCCTAGAAGTGTCAGATAAAGATCCAAAGGCTCTGTGAAGATGATGATTGAATACTGAATTGTAACCAAATGGATTACCTTGACCAAGCCCCCGACTCTTCGAAAATTAAATATGTCAACAACAAAATCTTCTCTTTTGGAGATAACCTATTCAGAATCCAAGAAGAAGATACCAGAAGCCGTAGCATTAGAAGCTCCCAATTCAAATGCATCTATTGCTCCTTCTGATCCATCATGACGAAAAGCAGAATCACAATCCCTCCTTTCGAAGAACTGATTCTGGTAGATAAAGAAGCTCTTATCAGAACCAGATAAGATTTCAAACCTCCTGAAGAAATTCTTCTGGGTTTGATGTCCTTGATTGAGCCAACCTCTTCTAATGATGAACAGTGTATTTGCTAAAAGATCAAATCAACATAAAACAAGAAATTTTGCTTGCTAAATATTAATTATGTGTGAGTATGATGTGTTTTCAAGAAACGAATTAGTCCACCCTTGACTTTCTCACAAAAATATCATTAGGAATTTCTTCAAGTAAAGAAGAAATATTGTTGTCTTCTAATTTTGATACATAGGAACTTCATGATGAAGTCTGCAGGTATAAGATCTAATTCAGAAATTCTGAATATTGTTTCCTTTGGAAAGCTTCGTAGAAAACTGAAAACTGCTTAGGAAAGAAAGCTTATTGATTCATCAGGAATCAAAGGAATTCTTGATATATGAATTTCTTGAAAGGAAAATGCTTTAAAAGATGCAAATACAAAATCCATTCACTCTGAAGCGGATATGCTGACAAGCCTTGATAGGCTAACTCTAAATAAGTTAGCTCAGCATTACAAGAACAAGATTGTCAATCAAAATCGTCAAAGTTTGATGATATTTGTATTAGAACAGATTATGCAATTTTTTCAAGAAATCACAAATTCAGAAGATGCTAGGAAATCTTTGTTAATTTTTTCAAGCACATAGCTTCTCAGAAGTTCATGAAATATTAACCTTCTGAAAATTAAGCTTTTGCTCAAAGGAAGCTTGACAAACAGATGGATGTTCTGATAATAAAAGATCGGAATATATGTGCTATAAAGATTACTCTCAAGAAGTCATACGGGTGATTATAAACAAAAGAATGAAGGGATCACCTGAAGAGCATATTGATTTTAGCCCTCAGATTAGAGATTAGAGTTCAGAAGAAACTTATACTCCTCAAAATCACAAAACAGAGAACCTCTAAAGAAGTAAGAGGAACCGGTAAGTACGAGCTCAGAACCTATGATAGATCACAGATAGAGAGACTGCAAATCCTATCTTTGATTCTCTTCAAATGACGCATGAAGGAAAGGAACACATAAAGGAAACAAAGTCTCTGGCCTTAATTCAAAAATACGAAGCCTTCAAGATGGAAGATGACAAATCTATGGAAACGATATTTTCAAGATGTCATACTCTTGTGGCAGGACTTAAAGTTCTGAATAAAGGTTACTTTACAGCAGATCGTGTTAAGAAGATTATCAGAAGTCCGCCTGTCAAATGGAGACCCATGGTAACTGCTTTGAAACTTTCAAAGGATCTACACAATACCTCTCTTCAGGAGCTGATTAGCTCTTTAAGAAGTCATGAAATAGATCTTGATCAAGATGAACCTTAGAAGAGGGTAAAATCAGTTGCTCTAAAGTCTACTTCTGGAAATACCAAGGCTTATCAAGCTAAGGAAGAATCTGAAGAACATTCAGATGATGATGAACTCTCTTTTATATCCAGAAGAATCAGTCAAATCTGGAAGCACATAAAAAGAAAGTTTAGAGGATAAAGAAGAATGAACGGAAGAGGTGAATCTACTTTTGGTCAGAAGAGTGCTTCTGGAAAAGAAGTTACTTGTTGTGAGTGCAACGAGTCTGGACATTACA